ATTCGATGTTGTTTTATTGCCATTCATATTAGGATGTCAACGTTATTGTACATTGTCATTTTGATATATTCTTATGAGTGCGATTTACGCAAAGGATAGATGCACTCTTTTTATGTTATGCAAACGATTGAGTTACAATGTCACCGTTATAGTTAGTGATATGTGAAGACTTTTAATGGCGATGAGCTGGATGCGCTCATATAAGCGATCTGGTTCAATTCTTCTTTTCATTGCTGCATACAATGAAGTGATTCGTGGAAACGCTTGAAGTTGAATAGCTGTTATTACGGTTAAACGTGTATTATGATAAATCGCCTTGTGCGCGTACTATAATATCCTATCGCACCATCGTCAACTTATCAGATTTGTCCACGTTTTTTATTCGGTCACGGTATTGATCTCGTTTACACTTTTAAATTGTGTTTCCATCGTCTCGGTTGCTGCCTGATATAATTCAGGATTGTTAGATTAAGAAATCAATTTTTATTGGTATAGTTCTACTTCCATCTTAAAAAACGTCAATCTTTCTATCACGAAGCAGCAGCTGCACTTCAAACGCATCGCCATCCAAATTTTTGTTCACATAGTTAGCGTTTACGATTTGAAAGTACATTCCTTTATGGGCAGTAATCATTTTCGACGATGAAGTTTCAATGCCTTCAGCAAGAAAAAATTGATTAGCATAACAAATGTTTTGCTGTTCGGTGGAAAGTCAAAATGATTGTAACTGTTGTATTGCTGTTGTATGCGAAATTTGACTACATATAGCTTGATACATGCCCAAAACAGACGTAACACGGGAGAGAGGTCTTTCAGAACATCTAAAAACCATTCTAGCTTTCTTATCAAACATTATTTCGTAGCGACAATTGATTAGCGCAAAAAAATGCTCAGTTAAAAGAAAAATACTACCAAACAGATACAATACTACAACATTGTTGCTAATCCTACTAGATGCTGTCACGTAGTTGTAATATTTTTAGTTTTTGTGGACGCATAAAGCATGCAGACAATATTTCTGAAGGCGAAGTTTCATTGTTATTCAACAAATTGCATCTGTGAACGTTTTCCTGGCTTTGATGCTACATTATCAAAGCACCCTTTGCGTTTGCCATTCTGATGATGCATAAACAAATTAGATATTCTCGCAGCAGCTCGCTTGAACATATTCTTCCTCCCTCTCGCTTAAAGTCAGCTATATTTTCGTTCATAACCCAACAACATCACCCACAGTAAAGCACTGACCAGTTGTCGTGTTATTTACAAACACAGAAATTTTACACAATTCTTGTCCATCCATATCTATTCCGTTACAATCTCCGAATTTCCGCTCATTATCACTTCTTTGTTCGATTATGCGATTGCATATGGACGTTTCTCACCAAATGAGCTCCTTGAAAAGGTAATTTAAACTTTGCGCTGTATTAACCTGATAGCAGTCTAGCTAGAAAGTAATTGAAGAGGACACAATGCGGGCATTTTTAAAACATTACAATTTGTGTGCAGTGAATAGTATTCTCTTTTCTTTTTGGCGCTGTAACGTTGTCTAATAAATTTGTTAACGAAAGAATATCTGCAGAAATAATTTCAGATGTTTTTTCAGATTTTCAGAACTGTGTTTGCACTGAATTAATTCAGCTATTTGGTCGACAGCAGTTGTATAAAAAGTCAAGCGATATGAAGATGAAGTGATATTGAGGTGTAATGTGAATGATCCATTGCATAATCTCTTGAATACACAACAACAAGTGTCACTCATAAAAATCGTTTTCTCTGGTGATNATTACCACCAAGAACACCAGAATTATCCTCAACTGGGCACCTGCAGCAGTGATTTCATAAAGGCGGTGCCTACTCGGTTCAGATGGTCTGTGTTGAATCTGATCCCATTACTTGCCACGCCTACCGTAAGGGATCGACAAAAGGGCAGAGAGGGCAGGAAAGGCGTAGCGATCGAGCCGAAAATTCGTTCATCGCCTCAGCATACATTCGCGGTTTCACTCACCTCAAGGCAACTCATCGTTTCGTGACGGTGTTTGCAGTTTAATTCTCATATTCGGAATATTCCAACATTCTGTGAATGTTTCATTTTTTCTGTTGTATTTGACATAATAATCATTTGTCGCAATCTCCTCAAATCTTCAGCTGTGTATCAATATTTCGAAACTGATCATTTGATTACTATTGCCAGATTTTCTGCCATTTTACTGCTATTTCAAATCGTTTGTAAATTTTCAACTTTTCTTCTGCACCATCTGCAAAAAAACGACAACTGGTGCTTGTACTTGCAATTACGAGCATGTTTCGTACGATAACTTGTGAAAATGATATGGCACGTAGCGATACATCAGTTGAACAATTCATTACATCCGGCGAGAACGCACACTCGACATGTCGTCGAGGGAACGTTTATGATGATGAAGCAACCTCATCAACTTCCATTTGCAATACGTCATCTTCAAACGATGAAAGTCCATCTCGATCTGTCTCCAACTGCAATTTCTCCAATGCAATCGCTACACTGCAATCGAAAGGTAATCACTGAGTTTTGCAGTGTTCAGTCAGCTTCTGATAAAGCCAAGAAAGCATTACGTTTGCGTTCCACTGACAACAACAGTATTCGAATGTTGCATTCATAATGCATGTTTCTTTGCGCCGTCCTATTGACGCTCTTACAACTATAGAGGAATAGTGAAAATCGTTTGATCCTCATGATAAGCGATATATCCCTCAGTGTACCGTAGATCATTGTTCATCTCTTAGAGCACCTCAACGCAGCTTTGAAATTCTTTTACTGCTGAAATGTAGGGCAAAGCGATCTACTTGCAAATACCAATTCCAAGAATTCAAAATCTCCTCGAACTGAACGAACGCGTTCACATTCTAAAGGTGCCAGTGAGCTGTTTTATAAGGAAGTGATCACTGTCATTTCACTGTCTAAAAGTGCTGTTTTGGGAGTTGTCAAGATATGTGAATTACATACCATGTGAAATCCTTCCAAAACATCGCCTCTCGTGTGTTTGTCGACTACAAGCGTTATCAGTCAATTGAAGACAATAGAAACCTAGTTTGTGGGCTCTCATCGATGCAGCATCAATTGTCCATCATTATTTACCATTCACTATTGAATCTGCAAAATTGCTACCAATAAACATGTTCTAAGG